GCCCTCTAAAACCTGGTCACTATGATGCCAATACCTTTAGTAATTCATTCAAAATACAATTAACCACCCAAGTCTCTGATTTATATCTGACAAACATCTTAGTGACCAAATGTTTAACTACATTGATGAGAATTATTGGAATAAGAGTAACAACCTATAAAAATCAAATTCAAACTCTAATGCAGAACATTTTTCTTAAGTACTCACCTATATAAGAAATCATTTGCTCTTAATACTTCTTTTCTCAATTCAAAATGATCCTCTATCCCCAAAAAGAAGGTAAACAAATGTGTGGCTTTCTAGTAAAAGATCACTGAAGTTTAATAGTGTCTGAAGTCTATAGCTGCTAACTTAGGGAACAGATTAAAAACTACCATTTGGTTTCAGTATTTGCTTAATTATCTCTTGCTTACAAAACTCAGAAGCCACATTCTAGTCAATCATTTGCAATCTCTTAACACTCATACTACTTAAGTTACAGTCAGCCGGTCAAAAAGTATTTATTGCTCTACCAAACCGGTGAAATAAAGCGTACCAAAAATAAATTCTTTTTAGGGTTGCATATTCCAGAAATGAAGCATTAAAGAGAATCATTACCTGTATAAAGACAGAAATGAAAAAAATGTTAAGAAAATGTTACTTGAAAGTGCCAGTAAATGTCTTTTTCTCCTCACTCGAGAAACATCAAAAGAATATCTTCAAGATTTATTTATTAGAGAAAGTAATTCGCCTATATGCACACAAGACAATTTTATAATTGCCATTTTATTCAAAGTTTTTGTATTAACTTATTGCTAAGTTAATTACCTGGAATTATCAGGTAATAAATACCTATTGAAGTTTTCTATATTTTTCAGTTGAAATTATAATTAAATTAATTTATATGTGTTAACCATGTTTAAAACTATAAAATCCAGATATTGTAAATTTTGAAAAGTCATTAACTGTATAGAGTATAATGAATGAGAACTTTTTGGACTTTACAAAATGGATTTCATGAGAGCCATGACAGTAATGTCAACTTGCACACAAGGGGAATGCCCTTAGGGAGTAACTGGAACACCCAAAACCCCAGAAATGTTAGCCCCCATCTGCAAGGGCTGATAAGCATGAAGATCCCACCTTGTAAGGTCCATATAAGCTGAACACCTTAGACAGATGATGCTCAAGCCTGTCCAGAGAGCATCTTGGACGGTGAGCTAGAGCCGAAGACTCTGACCTTCTGACCTGTCCTAGCCACTGGCTCAGGACCAATACACAGCTCTCCGTGCTGCCTGTCGACAGAGTTCGCTTTGGAGACCCTAAGGTCTTTCAACCTTTTGCTCTGTCGCATAAGACTGTACTTCCCCTCTGTGTGTTGTGTGTTAACCTGCATAGGTACCTGATCAGGTAATGATTCTCAATAAACCTGGCACTGTGGAAAGATACAAATGTATTCGAGAGTGTTACTTCAGTAGCCACTTTTCTTGCTCACAACTTTAACAAGTTAAATTTTAAACTAATATTATGATTGTACTACATTTCTAAATCCCAATTCCTGAAAACTCACACACATTTCCCCTTAGAAAAATGACACATTAAATTCAAAAGAAAACACTACAGGGAATATTTAGGGCAATAAAAGTATTTTGCATAACACTGTAATAATGGAAATATGTCAATATACGTTTGTCAAAACCCATATTATAGAAAACACTGAGAAAACCCTAATGTCAACTAGAGACTTTAATCAATAACAACATATCAATAAGGGCCCATCAATTGTAATAAATGTACATATCAATGCAAAATATTAATAAGAATGACTGAGGGGAGGTATGAGAGGATAAATGAGAACTCTGTACCTTCCACTCATTTTTCTGTAAACCTAAAACAACTCAAGAAAAATAAAGTCCATTAAAAACAGAGAGATTGTATCATGACCATCTTGCCTTTGTATTGGTTAAATTCAATCATCAAAATTAATAAAGTACCCCCTTTATCATCAGCTACAAATTTAAATCATTTTAGAAATTATGCCACCACTGATAAGTTTTGATGCAATAAATCCTGTTAAGCACAAGCACAGACTCCATCATTTGCATCTCGTACTCTTAGTGTATACCTGTACCTGTGTTCCAGTTTCAAGCTTAAAAATGACAGTGAACAGAGGTCGAAGAGTGTGTACAGGTGTCATTCAGATTACAAATCCAACAATTCATACTATCAATCAAGAGAGAAGGCACATGGTGTAAAGCAGGGAATTGATCTAAAGCTGCCATCATCATAGTATATCTATGGGGAATTTAGAAGCTTGGCTTCAGAAGTATTTTTAAAACTAAGACGCTTTAAAAATATAAGGTAGAGAATGATGGCTCAGTCATCAACATCTATGCAATCCGTCTTAGGCAATAAAGGAAAAAAAGGAGAAAGATTTCAAGTGATGTACCCCCTGTTAGGTGTTATTTTGGCATTCCAAAACCTGTGTTTTTTACTAGGGTTCTATTTAGAGCTGTCTGAATGGCCTTAACCTACTGCTCAAGGCACTCATGTCAGCCCGTGAAGGGTATAAATCCTTTAGCCTGAACTTGCCATGAAGACCTAAAGTTCCTACAAGAGAAACCAGGAATGCAAAGAATGTTTGAAACAAATATGAATCCATCAAGGAGTATCTGTGGCATACCTACTTGGCAGCTAACACAGAAATAATTTTCACACTAAAAAGAATTTTAGAAGTATTGATAAATTGGTGTCATAGGTATATCAATAATTCATCGTCAAATATAATGTTGATCTCAGAAAATGTTTCATAAAAATATTTCAACTAGAAAATATGTTCAAAATATAAGTTAAATTGCACTATCCATTTTAACTGTGAAGGAAACCAAATATTCAGGAAAAGAAATTGGAGAAAAACGCAGATTCAAATTATCCAATGCAAAAGCGAAATTTGCTGCCTTACAACACAGGCTTATTATACTAGTTAAACTTTCACTCTGATTTCTCAAAGTCAAAAGCCACAACTAAGAAGAATTTTAAAGGTGACTACCTTTAAAAGCACTAGTGATTACCTCAGTTGTCCAGATTATCTCTCACTGAGTTAACTATGTCATAGTTTTCAGGTTTTCTCCAAAGCTATGACCTTCATGCAAAAAAAAAGTCAGTATTTTCAGCTACCTCTTTTCTTGCCTTCTTCATTTTCCCTTTACAATCCCCAAGTTAATTTTAATTCTATTCAGACTCATTTTTTTTTTTTGAGAAGCTAGTCTATTTCAAAGTTTAAGGGAAAAAAGAAGCATTATTCTAAGGGAATTCTCTTTGTAGAGTGGCATAAATTAAACTCTTCAAGAATGACACTAAAGTGATTCCACGTATTGACAGAACTGGTTTCTGCCATTCAGATTCAAATAACTATACTGTGAGCCCAGATCAGATCCCTGCTTGGGTTCACCTAAGGCCTCCTAAATTGACAATAAGAAGGTTTCAAAATGTTGACTTGTCAATAATAGACCCAGCCTCGCCTTCCCTTAGTTGGGTTCCTAGGACCAATTCAGGAACATCATGACAAAATACTTAAATGACAACATAATTTCAATTCAAGAAGCTAAATTCAAATTATGAAGAAATAAGATGTATAGAAATAAAGAAGTATTTTAAAAGTAGAACTCCTTTTGTAAAATAAAATTGGTTCTCATAGAATCTGTCTGTGGCAACAGGTCTCACAAATTTTTTAGTGCATCTGGGTCATCAGGATTGTTTATTAAAACTCCACTGGCAACAATTCTTGGACAACAGGTCTGTTGAGAGCTTAGGGAAAATGCATGAGTAACAAGCACCTTGTCTACAGCCATGCCACCCTGAACTCGCCCGATCTCATCTGATCTTGGAAGCTAAGCAGGGTCGTCTGATCTCGGAAGCTAAGCAGTGTCGGGCCTGGTTAGTACTTGGATGGGAGACCACCTAGGAAGAGCAGGTGCTGTAGGTGTAAAAAAATAAAGCACCTTTATACTACCATGACAGGGACAACCATGAACTTTGTGTTATATTTACCTTTGTCTGACCCTTTCGCTTCACCTCAACCTGTGTATCAGCTATATACTATCTCTGGATACCAGCATGTTTTCCCATTGGTACAGAAAAAGCAATGAAAACAATCAGTAGCTATGTACAGAAGAATTTTCTCTCTTTCATGGCATGTTGTCGTTCTTTCCATCATAAAGTATAATGTTAAAGAGAGTTAGTGTCATACTTGTCAATCATAAGTATTTTTTTTCCTTCTACCTGGAAAGTAATATAAATGACTTGTATTTTGTTGCTAATTCCTTAACCTTAGCCTTCATCTCCAATAAAAATATCAAGCTGTCGAATATAGCTTTTGGCTATTTTTTTAAAGGAATGAAATTATAAGGGAAAGATCCCTAACTCTTCTGCCAATCATACTTCTCCCTGCACATTGTTCCTGGGTTTGTGAACTGGTGATTTCTTCACCTGATCTATGTGTATAGTTCACCTGAACTATCCAACTGTTGCACTTAATACCTCCTTTTGCAAGCTGAGACCTGGTCATTGTGTGTTTAGAAGAACCCAGTAGCTAATATACCTTTTCTGTAAATCAGGTCTGTGTGACTTTCTACCAAGACTTACTGGAGTCCATTCCAGTATTGCATCTTAGATGGTAACTTTTTTCACATTTTAGAACCCAATCATATTCAGTATGTTAAAACTATGTTGTTCCTGTTAAAATTACTTTACACTGCACTGCAAGCACATAGCATATGGTTAGCAAGACATTTCTAACTCAACGCTTGTGAGAAAATAACCATGTGTGTCATAAATAGTTTAATTCGAAGCCAGAGTTAAGTGCTGAAGTAAGTCTTGAGTAGGAGTAAACTCCAGCTTTTAAAAGACTGAACAATGTTGCCCATCAAGACTAAAAATCGTAGTTAAAGACAACAAATCTTGTATTGAACATAAAAAAAAAATGGAAGAAAGCAGATATTGTCAAAATGTTAGGCTCTTACCAGAAACGGACTCCAGCAAATGCAGGAAACACACATTATTGCCAGGAGCTGGATGACCATTTCAAAATGATGAGACCTGCCTTGTCTGTGCTGCTGACCCTTAAATTTAACTCTTAAAAGAGTAATTCCTGTGATGGCATTGCACAAGAATGAAACACCAAGGGCTAAGAGCCCCAGAAAAGAAAAAAGTAGAAGATAAAACCTATCTTCCCAGTCTTTGATGTGTTCTGTTTTGTAGAAGCACCAGGTCCTTGATGCTTGAATTTTATAGTCTTGATGCCCAAGGATGGGCAGCAAAGCTATGAAAATAGCAACCAAGTATACACTGCTCAACATCACTTTCATATGTTTGGATGTAATTTTCGTAGAATGAAATAGTGGTTTGGTGACTCCAATACATCGCTCAATGGCCATCACACTGCCCAGGAAAAGAGGGCACAGACCTGAGAATACCATGGAGATACCAAAAATACTGCAAAGGACGTTCGATTGGTCAAAGCGAATCCAGTCTTTATCAGAAGCATATACAAACACTGCTAAAGCTCCGTTGATGAGGTGGCCAAAGAAATCTGTGATTACCAGGCCACTAGCCAAAAGCAGAAACGATGCCTTGGACTTCTGTCTAAATCTCTGATATGCCTTCATGAGTATAACAATGGCAAGGCTGTTTGATAAGATTCCCACTGTCATGAAGATTATTGAAAAAAATACTGAAAGCCGGTTTTCCGTCTGGCAAGTTGTATTTGAAAGAAGCCCAGCTGCAGGAGACAATGACTGTTTGGAATTGTTCATGGACATTGTTGTGAAGATAACAGCCAGCCGCTCAAGTCATTTCCCACTCAGGACAGTGCAGGTTTGTAGTCCAGGCGTCTGTAGCATGAAGACAGAAGAATTATGAGCACTGCATAACTGTTAATCTGTCATTTAAAACCAAAGGGCCCCAGTACCTTGTGGTAGGAATCAGATTTATCTGACCTATCATAAGCAAGGTTGCGTCATACTGAAAACAGCACACATCTGCCTGTGGTTCCACATTTCATTTTCAAGGTAAAGCAGCTGTCAAAATTGAACCCCTTGATTAACCTCCGTGGCCCTTCTGCAAATGGGCACCTCCTAAATCTCCTCCTGACACTTCACAGGTTTACAAAATCACTAACAAGATTAAATTTAAACGCAATAAAGTTTTAAAAGCATAATAGTTTATTTAAACAACTAGACAACCTTTTAAAGTTTTTGTTCTTTTCTCTGATGGGCTTCGTCCCCAAACTACAGGTTATTACTTAGGTGAACTACTTGTTTGTCAGGTAGACAAAACAATCTTCTCCAAAACTTGGGAGAGTGCAAAAGAAACCACCAGCAAGGTCACTGGTGTTAAATGCGGCTTCTCTGAATAAATTCTAAAACTATTTGATTGAGATCAAATAACAGCAAACCACACGCATCAGTGATCCCTGGAAGGAAGAGTGGTGAGTCTGTAGGAAGGTTTTCTGGTCCAGCTACTACCACCTGTGCAGAAATCCTTAATCGCTATAGAAAAGGAGGAGAGCCGTGCTCACTGTGAGCACATCCGCCCAGATGCTGTTGATTAAGCTACAGCTTCAGGATAGCAACATCCAAAACTAAGTA